AATAATAATAATAATAATAATAATAATAATTCAGTATGAGCTCAACAATAATTCCTAGTGTAGAATATTTAATAAATGTTGCCATTAGTGTAATAAAAGCACTGCTGGATGTCCAGCCATGCTCTGCCTCCTCCTCCAGCACCACCAGCTCCCACTGAACTGGATTCTTAGAATATGAATAATTTTCCTGGTTACATATTTAGTTTTTTTTCCCACTTAAACAATCTTTTGGAAGTACAAATGGCTTTTCAGGCTGGTGAAACAGAGGCAGAAAATGAAGTGTAAATCTTCAAGTTTTCTCTTCTGTCCAGAGAGACTTGGCCCTAAAGCAGCAGCTTGTTTTTATGAATTGCTGCATAATTTAACTGAATTGTTCTCTGGAACATAAAAGTCCTTTAAATAGCATGGAGGGAGCACATGATATTTAACATTTGCTGATATTATCTGTAGAACACTCCTTTCTCTATAGGGGCAGTAACAATTGGTCAACTTAAGGCCTGCTTTAAATAGCATTTTCAGAGAAAATATTTCCTTGTAACTTCCCAGCATTTGAAACCTGCTGAAAGCAACCAAGGCAGAGCAGCAGGAATATAATTCCCTTGGAATATTGCAGTGTGGTGGCACTCATTTCCTGGGATCTGCTTCAGAGACCCTACTGACACTTAATTCATAAACACTTGGGAATGATTTTAAATCTGATTTTAAGGTTGGTTTAACTGTGTGTGTTTAAGAAAGAAAGAAAAACATGTTTGAATGTGCCCTTTTCATCATGAAAACAAACTATTTGGTGTCTTTTCTCATGTTTCTGTGGTTACTGTCACTTCATTTTGTGTTTTGAGTTAAGATTTTATCAAAATAGAGGCCTTGGGGGTGTTTAATTGTTGTAGCTCATTGCTAATGTTGGGGTTGTCCCCTTCTTCCCTGTTCCCTGTTTTCCAGGTGATCATCACCATCCTCACTGGGCTCCCAGGATGTCGTTCCAGTGATCTCTGTGCTTTCCTCGTCACCTTTACCAAGGAGTATGGAAGGTTTGTACAGTCCTGGTTGTATTAATCACCAAAAAACAACCTGACATGATTAAATTATCCATGTTTAATTGTTATTTTTAAACCTCGTTTCTAATTTGTAAAGAGAAGTGTTGTAAGAATAAGGTCAGTAAACAGTTTTGAGGTCCTGTAGGGTCTGTTACTTCACTTTTATGACTTCAGGTATCTCACTTAACTGTGTCTCCAGGTAGATTTGCCCTTAAATTTTAAATATTCAGACAGAAAAAATAGCCCAGGAGGTTTCTTTGTTGCTGTTCCATGTTAGGAAAAGCACAGGAATCCCTGCAGATCTCACGTGTACCTGGAATACCACTGAGGTTACAACAGTCAGGAGTAATCTCAGAAGGGCCAAATGAATCCTGCCTTAAGCAAGGATAGAAGGTGCCACAAATTGAAGGAAATGAGTGAAGAGCTTCCTTTTTTGGGGAAAAGACTCCCCTGGCACTCCTTGTTTTTAATGTGACCTGATTTCTATTCTGCAGGAGCAGGAGGTGCGTTCAGGACATTGTTGTGTGGCAACAAGATAAATCTAGGGGAGGAATTTTTTCATTCTGTGTGTTGATAGAGCTTCTGGAAAATCAAAAGAAACAGTTGTTATCCTTTTAAATCTTGCAGCCAAACACCTCAGCATTTCATCTTAGTCATGTTCTGCATGTTTTTCACTTTTTACTCAGCGTCTTGATATTATCAAGTTGATTCAGGGGAGTTTTTTGGTTCTGTTATAGGGCAAAGTGACTTTTGAAGGTTGTGTAATAATACTTTTCATCACGTTTCCTGCAAATGTCAGTGCTGTTTTCCATTTTTGCAGTGGAAATATTTTCATGCCCAGAGTCTTTTGAATTGGATTCGTATCATTTTTGATGTTTACTGCATCACTCACAGTGATCACAGTTACTGCTGTGATGCACAGCTTTGAAAAAAAAGCTGTTCAACATTGTTTTATTAAAAAACCAACCAACCAAAAAAAAAAACACCCTTGTGGCACTAATGTAAAGAATGTACCTGTGCTGGAAAGGACAGAAAGCCAAGTCAATCCCCCTTTCCCACGTGGTCAGGTGGAATGAGCTGATGATGAGCTGGTGAGAGATGTGGAATCTCGGGGTTGTCAAAATTTATTTTCAGTCTGTTGGTTCCAAATAAAAAGAGAACAGAAATGTTGTGTCACAGAACGTGAACCCCTTTCCTTGGTTCCTGTTGTTTAGGTGGATTGTTTATAGGCAAACCATGGATAGCCCAGAATGTTTCAGTGCCACCCACTTCCAGAGGTACCTGTCCGGGGTCCTGGAGGCTCAGCAGAACCTCGGGGGCCGTCAGTCCATGTTCTCCAAAAAGAACAAGAGGCTCCTGGTGGTCCTGCAGGGGTAAGTGTTTGAAACTGTGGCAGTGTTGCAGAGAGTAAGGGATTTTTCTATCCCCTTCCTATTTCCCGGGCATTTTTAAACTTTCCCTTTAAGATTCTGAGCTCCAGTGTGGCACTCTGGGAATTCTGTTTTATAGGTGTACTAAACTCAGCTTTTCTGCACCTCTTGATATTATTGGTTGTTGCTCCTTTGGAAGGAGTGTCCATGGGATTCCTTCAGTCATTTGGAAGCAATGGGCACTCACAGCCCAGACCCCCCCGTGCCCTGGGCTGATCCCCCAGCGTGGGCAGCAGGGCAGGGGGGGATTCTGCCCCTCTGCCCCTGTCTGAGGTGAGACCCCCCTGCAGAGCTGCTCCAGCCCTGGGAACAAC